TGCCCAACCTTCCTTCTGAGGAGTGGCTGGTGGGTTTGAACCGCCTGCCTTCTGGTTAGCAGTCAAGTGCCTTAGCCACTATGCTACCAGAGCTCCCTGGGATAAACATTAGCATTTTTGAATACTGTAGAAGGGTCTGATGAACACAGAAAAAGTGAAGGGAGAGTCTGAGATTAGAAATTCTAGAGCATTATTCCTGAGTAGCTGAAAGAAGATAGCATCTATATAATCCGCAAGTGAGAGGGTATGTTCAGCTCAGAGGACAGATGATTCATCTGTAGTATGGATCTGCAAACTAGGGTCTGAAGGCCGAGTCTGGTTTTGAAACACCCACAAGATACAAATGAGTTTGATACTTTTAAGTGGTTGGAGAAAAGTAAAGAATGTTTCATGACAAATGAAAATTATATCAAATTCAAATTTGCATGTCCACAAAATAAAAGTTTTATTAGCATACAGTTACCTCATTGGTTTGTATGTTCTCTATGGCTGCTTTTGAGCTATATAACAAGAGCTGAATAGTTGTGACAGAGACTATATTGCCTGCAAAGCCAAATATATTAACTATCCAGCCCTTTACAGAAAAGTTTGCTGACCCCCTGATCTATAGTAACATGAAGAAAGGTAGAATATGTGAATATAGATATTGGTAGGTAGATAGATGTAGTAGTGAGAGCTTATAGCAATACTCTTCAGTGAATAGGAAGCCAAGTTACCAGCTAGACGTAAAGATAGGATCAGAGTTGCTGGGAGACTGAGAAGAAAGGGACAGGTGTTAAATAGTTACCTAGAGGATAGTAAAGCAAATGGACTAGAAAATCTTAGTGTGTGTGGCAGGAGAACTAAGGCCCCACTTGAAGTTCTTGGTCATGAATTTAAAGTGAGACTAGTTACCATATTGTGTTTCTTCAACCATATTTGACTATTCAGGAGCAGATATGGAATTGGTAAAAGGCTGAGTTTAACTGGGATTGGGATTTTGCCAAGAAAGTGTGATGAAGGGAAAGAGGAGCAAACGAGTTGAAAATATATGCAAGGGAGTGATTAAAATGGTTAACTGTGAATTTAAGCTGGTGAAGAGGAGAAAGGAAACATAAAAATAAGAGTGAAAATGGGTAGAATCAATGTATTATAGGTTCCAGTGGAGTCAAAGAATTATTTATTGGAGTTGTTATATGAAAGATAATGAGCAGGAAATATGGAAAAGGAGGGTCAAAGAGTGGGATATTTGAGATTGAGATTATAGGTGTGTTCTTATTAGTGATGACAGGATCTAGTGTATATCTGAAAGGATGAGTGCCCAAGGATAAGTGCAAGATCTTTGGAGGAGAGGCCTCAAGGAAGAGAGAGATTATGTTGTTAGATATATGAATATTGTTTTTGTTGTTGTTGTTAGGTGCCTTCGAGTCATATCCGACTCATAGTGACCCCGTGCACAGCAGAATGAAACACTGCCTGGTCACGTGCCAGCTCCATGATCCTTGCTATAGTTGAGCCCATCGTCGCAGCCACTGTGTCAGTCCTTCTTCCTTGAGAGCCTTCCCCTATTTCGTCGACCCTCCACCTTACCAAGCATGACATCCTTCTCCAGGGGATCGTTCCTTTTGACAACATGGCCAAAGTAGGTGAGACGAAGTCTGGCCATTCTCGCTTCCAGGGAGCATCCCAGCTGCACTTCCTTCAGGACAGATCTGTTAGTTCTTTTAGCAGTCCACGATACTTTCAGCATTTTTCACCAGCACTGCATCTCAGAAGCATCAATTCTTCATTCTTCCTTATTCACTGTCCAGCTCTCACATGCATACGAGGTGACTGAAAATATCATGGCTTGTGTCAGGTGCCCCTTAGTCCTCAAGGAGACATCCCTGCTCCTCAGCACTTAAAAGAGGTCCCCTGCACCCAACTTGCCCCGTGCTATACGTTGTCTGATGTCTTGACTCCTGCTTCCATTGGCATCAGTTGTAGCACCAAGCAATGTGAAGTCTTTGACAACTTCAATCTTTTCTCCAATTATCGTGATGGTGCATA